AATATCAATAGTGAATATTAATGGTCTTTTAAATGAAGCATGTGGATGTTGTAGATGAGCTGCCAAATTAGATGTTGACTCAACTAACTAATTAATTCTGATGAATCTTTTACACCCAATTAACACTTGAGCCTAATTTGACACCAACAGTTTCTGTGAGATTTTTATGAAGCTGACACACACACACACACACTCTCACACACTTTCACATATACACTCACACACACACACAAGCGCATGCGCACACACAAACACACACACTCACACAAGCGTGCACACATACACACTCGCACAAGCGCTCAGACATACACACACTCGCACAATCGTGCACACACAAACACACTCGCACAAGCGCTCACACATACACACACTCGCACAAGCGCTCACACACACACACACTCACACAAGCGTGCACACACATACACACTCGCACAAGCGCTCACACATACACACTCTCGCACAAGCGCTCAGACATACACACACTCGCACAAGCGCACACACTTGCACATACACATGCACTCACTCGCACAAGCGCTCGCACATACACACACTCGCACAAGCGCGCACACACATGCACAAGCGCATACACACTCGCACAAGCGCGCACACACATACACTCACACAAGTGCGCCCACACTCACAAGCACGCACACACACACTTGCACAAGCGCTCACACAAGTGCACACACACACTCGCATAAGCGCACACAAACTCACGCAAGTGCACACACACAAGCACACAACTCACACACACACACACACACACACTCACACACACTCACACTCACACATACACACACTCACATAAGCGCACACAAACTCACGCAAGTGCACACAAACTCACGCAAGTGCACACACACAAGCACACAATCACACTCACACACACTCACACAAACACTCTCACACAAAACAGTCCTGTTTATCAGTAAATGACTGAACAGAAGAGCTTCTAAATAAAACAGATCTAGGCTTTGATTGTCAAGATGTCAAGTTTTGAATGTTCTTTACTAGCAGAGTATAATTGTAGACTCGTATTGCCAAAGTATTTACATCTGAGCTGCATGCAGAGAAAACCGTACAAAGAGTGTTATAAGGATGAAGCTGATGACATGAACCTGTGTGTGTGTTTGTGTGTGTGTGTGTGTGTGTGTAGCGCTTGAGGACAGAGCGAGACTCTCTGAAGGAGACTATTGAGGAGCTGAGGTGTGTTAAAGCTCAAGAGTCTCAGCTGACGTCAGGTGACTGCTTTAAAGTCCATGCAGTGACTCATTTTTACAGCATATGTTTGTTTTTAATTCATTATGTTTGTTTATGTATATGATGGGTTTATATGTGCTGATCAGAAGTGTTTCATCAGGTTTAGTGCCGCTCGGCAGTAACGAGCCCTCTGACTTGCTGTCTGCAGAAATTGTCACACCAGAGTTTAGGTAGGTGAAATACAGTAACATGAAGCCGCATGAACACTAAACACACACACTCACACACACACACACACACACACACACTCAGATCTCTTTGACGTCCATGAAAGGCTCCAGCAGCTCAGACCGGATCTGTGCTCTGTTTTATAGCTTTGTAACTCTGGTCACGCTGCCCAACAAACAGCAGCATTGTAAATCAGTTCAGGGATCCAGAAAGAGCTTGAGCTTTCTTCTGCTGATGGAGCTAATTTTGTTAGATGTCTGACTGCTGAGGTTATCATGGTCTAGTTAGCTCCTGTTCTTGTCCTGACTAGTGTTGTTTTGTCATGTCTCTCAGGGAGCGTCTGATTCGCCTGCAGCATGAGAATAAGATGCTGAAACTGGCTCAGGAGGGATCAGATAATGAACAGATCGCTCTGCTGCAGAGTTTACTGGAGGACGCCAACAGCAGGAAGAACGAGCTGGAGACGGAGAACAGGTCACACACACACACACACACACACACACACGCACACACAGACACACAC